CAAATACCCACAAAGGTCTTCTTTGGGGATCTTTGTTATATTCTCATTATGAACCTTTGGCAGGTGTGCCTCAGTACCAGGGTGACAAGGACATTGATGAGCACTTCTAGGTCACTTAAGCAAAATCTCTGGCCATTGGAACAGGCTGCTGCCATGTGTCCACAGACCTCTCCCTGTCTACAAATTAAACTGGCCACACTGGTTGCAGGAGCCTGAGGACTGCCCTCAGTGGAGTGGCATAGGAGCTTTCTTGCAAGAGAAGCAAATGCTGACAGTGTGCCTCTGGGAGCAGTCGCCTCCCTACTGAGATCCTTCAGATGGACTCCAGAATCCAGTCGCTGCTGGAGAAGGGCGAGACAGGCAGTGACAGGTCCCTTGGAGGGCCTTGGTCCCTCCCATCACGCGAGGAATTCTGCTCTTGGAAACAACCCTCCTCCTCCTGGAAGAAGCCGTTCTTCAGAGCGTCAGGGCAGTCCAGGCTGGACGCTGCCAGCCATCCTCCCTTACGTTCCTGAGTGGACTTGCAGGGGCTGTACAGTTGGCAGAGCAAGGATACAACAGGTCCAGCTGTTGAAGGTCAATCATCTCCTTGTGGAGCAAGGCCAGCGCGGCGTCCAGGTTGGGAGGCTGGGCGGGCAGCGCCCAGGCTTGGTTCCCACTGCTCAGCTTGTCCTGCATGCACGACTTCTGCACGTACAGCCGTCCCAGGTGCCACCAGCCCCCCTACGCGCCGCCACCCGACGCCCAGGGCAGCAGCTGCTCAGGCATTTGGGTGGCGGGGCAACCCGTCCACCCGCAGCTCCCGCACTGGGCCCACGCGCAGCCTCCGGCGCCTCTTCAACGGTCTCATCATGCCCACCCTCCGCCTTCCATGTTTATGGGCCTTCTGTGAATGTATTATTACTAATTTAACTGCCCCATGTCCTGCATCTTAAATCATTTCTAGCCATCCAGTTTATAGGATCAAAAAAGACTGACTCGTAGCTCTTTAAATTTCAAGATTACAAACTCAGATTTTAAAATCGTAAAGTCTAGGGGCACTGATAGGTGGTAAACATTGGATTCATATCCAAAGTGGATTTCCAAATAATTGTAGGACTAGAATCATTAGCCATGAAAGGGGCCAAGGGTGGTAGACAAACTTCTAAGATGCTCCCACCACCCCAGATTCCTGGCCCCTGTGTACATATACTTTCTCCCAAACATCAATCAATTACTAATATAGGTGCTGCTGTGAAGGGATTTTGCAGATGTAATTAAGGTCCCAAATTAGTTGACTTTAAAATAGGGAGATTATTGACGTAGGACTTACCTGATCACATGAAGATTATAAATCAGAGAGATGTGCTCTGGCTGCCCTGGAAGAAAGTAAATGTCCGTATTATAAACTGCCTACAGGGGTCACATGCCAAGGAACTGCAAGCATCCTCTAGGAGTTGAGAGTGGTTCTCAGCTAACCAGAAGGAAAACAGGGACCTCAGTCTTACAATAGCAAGAAGATGAATTCTGCTGACAACCAGTGAGTTGGAAGCCCAGGTAAGAACTACAGACTTGGCCAACATCCTGTTTTCTGCCCAGAGATAACCCTGAGCAGAGAATCCAGCCATACCATTTCTGGATTTCTGACCCAAAGTAACTGAAATAATAAATTTGTGTTCTTCTAAGCCATCCAGTTTGTGGTAATTTGTTATGCAGCAAACATACTGTTATGTAGAGAACACACCAAGGAAGTATGAAACTCACCTGCTGAATTACAAGTCAAGAGCAGGGCCGGTATACACAGCTGTGGCTGTGCACTGTACAGCTTTAGTGGTATCATTTGTTGTCCGTATGAATGGTACCTTCTGAAATTGGGCAGTGCACTCTCAGCACAACTGTACATAGCAGAGACTCCACTTCTTGACTTCTGATGTTCCAGCATCTGGGCTACCTCTTTTAACCTTTTATGCCCTTAGTAGAATAAGACAGACTAGATGTATTCCAAAGTCCGATTAGCTCAACATTTGGAGGGTTTAGGGTATTCTGTAAGTACTCTACCACACTGGCCCTTCATACTTTGTCTCCAGTTATTACCTTCTCAATTTCAACCTCTTGCTTCACTTAAGCGAGTTTGCCCACAGTCTCCTTCTTCCGTAAGTTGCTGTCGTGTCAACGAGTATCGCTGAGGATGGAATAAGGCAGTAGCTCCCTAGGGAGGATGCCAGGAGGAACCTTCCCTCCCCTTCCTCATTTTGATTATGAATGAACATGACAGTTAGTGTTAGAATTAAGGAGACTTAAAATCAGTGGTTAAAAGTTCTTTCAGTCTCCTCAGTCTGTTGAATAAAGTCACACACCAGTGGTGGTCATTTTGAGGAAATGCTGACTGACCTGTTTCCTCGGAAGGCAATTTAGTAATGAAAAAGGAAATGCGACAAAACCTAGGAGTCTTTAGCTAGGCCACAAAAAAAGCGATCCTGTCTCAGAGACAGGAAATGCACTTAAAATTAACTAATTAAAACAAGCTTTTGGAAACCAGGTTAAGTTGAAGTCATACTGCAAGATATGCAAAATTAAAACTTGAGAACAAAGTCCATAGGCACTGATTTGTCTATACTCCCCCTCTCCACTTCTGCCCAATTATTCCCAGTGGTTTTACAAGGTATTAGCAGCTATGACCACTTCGTAAGGGGTCAATATTTTAAGACAACAAATTAAGAGCATGGCTTTGAAATCTTACTGTCCACAGAACATTTAAACTCTAAATTTCTCTGACTGTATTTCAAAGTTTTATAAGGGTCAGCTTGTGTGTGTGAAATACCCTTGCACAGTACCAGGTATGTTTAACATGTAGCTTTTACTAGACCAATGCTGAAATAGAATGACTGATAGGAGAATTGGTATTTTGGGCTAAGAGAACACATGCGGGGGTACAGAACAGTGGCTACCAAATCCAGTCCAGGGATAGGTGATAAGCGTTCACCAACCAACCATAAGAAGAAAAACAGGGACAAAATAGTGAATTTTTCACAAACTTATTCAAACAAATGTGCTATTGACATCCTTTATTCTCGTGTTTTTTCAGTGTCAAAATGTCTATGAAGTGACAATAAATTATAGCTTAATATATTTGTTTGACAAAATCAAAAGTTGTCAATTGTGTTATCAGTCCCTTCAAATTGTTTAAAAACATTTTTTTCCTATTATGTAAGATATAAGTCTGGGAACCAGTGCTTGGATGTGACTGTTAGAAGTGGAAAAGGTCTTAGAAGACAAGCAGTTCTCACAAAGATGGGCTTAAATACACTGGGGGATTTTCTCACAATTTTCCATACTCAGCTTCTGAAGAGTAGGCAATTAGAAAATTGGTGTTCAACAGAAAAAATGAGAGACTGAACCAGGGAAGAGGAAGATGGTTGACTTGGAAAGAGGAAATCCAACACAGGAGTGGTAATGGAAACTACCACTGTACACCAGGCCTCAGAAGCCAATTTAGTCAAGTGTTATGTGGAGAAAATGGTCATTAGTGCCAGAGAAGTAATGCTTGTACACGAAAATGAATGAAATTGAAAATGAAACCACACTACACAAGTAATATATGTGGTGAGTAGTACTCCCTGCTCATTGTTATCAGTGTCCCAGAAAGCAAATGGTACCCTCAAAATAGTGCCCCAGAGCCAGGAGAGTGCTAGCACCTCAGGCCCATAAGGGCAGAGAGAGGCACAGGTTAGTGGAAACTAAAAGCAATAACATGGAGTTGGCTGTCTTGAGGTGCAATGACTTTTGGCTGAAGATGTATTTGGCCTTAAGAGAGGGAGCCCATGAAATAAATGCCTTGACATCCCTCCATCCTTCCCACCTACTGCTGCAGTTCCCAGCGGCCAAACCCAACAGAACCCAGAGGGCATGGGCCATCTATTGATGCAGTCCACACAGCTTCTTGGGCAGCAAAGTATGGTAAAGGGAGATTTGGAGGGGCAAATGGAAGACATCTTGTGCACTCATAATGATATAAGCACTTATTAATGACTTAACCAAAATACACAAAAACATTTTAGGAAGATGTGTGGGAGTAGCGGGAACACAATGTGAGACAACTATAGCTCAACCATGGCAGGAAATCAATGTCTAAAGTAGATAGCTCCACAAATAGCAGTGTATAGGTATTATTTGGAAATATATAAATAAAACATTATGATGTAGGCAATAGCTAAATGAGTAAAGCTTTTGGGGACTACAGGAGTAGGGACATTATAAACCTTGCCATATCATGACTTTTTAAAAATGATACATTTACTGTGACAAATTGAGCTGCTAGAAGACTACACAAAAAACTAATGTTGGTTAGTCTGTGGAGCTAGAGTAAGGGAGGGTAAAGAAATAACATTAACTTCTCCCTGAACGTGCTCTTGTTTTTATGAACATCTGTTATTTTCATAATAGCCTTCTCTTAACCTTAAAAAAGAATCTGATTAAATTAATTTAGTGGCAAAAGGGAAGTTATCTTATTTCTCAGGCAGGTTGGGGCAGAAAATCTGAAACTTAGTGATATTTATCAAATTAACTCCAGGGTGAATCAATGACTTGACCAGACACCGGGCTTAACAGAGACTTGGTTAGGAATTGACTGGGGACCCACAGGCAGGAGTTCCATCTAACCTCTTCTTGCTTGAGAAGGAATAAATAAATATGATATAAAGATACGGCTCATCTTATTTGAATATTTATAGATTCTCTACACTAATGTGAAGAAGTCCAAGGATGAAAACCATGTAGTGAGGCCCAGAGCAGCAAACAACTACACAGTCACTCCCTGCTGAAATGCACTAAATTCTGCAGTCTTGTTATATAACAATTAACTGATACAATCTACTATTAAAAAACAAAAACATATATATACACACACACACATATATATTGCTGTCCCACAACTATCCAGATGCCATCACAGTATTATAATTCTGCTTTCTGATGTGGTTAAAAAAATGTCCCTTTTAAGTATTTAAATTTTAAAAGAAAACTGCAAGCTGAACTGCATATTTAATAATTTTGTAGGAATAGAAGGAATGCATCAAGGATTACAATTTTATAATATACATTAGACATTTATGTAAAAGATGTTCCATTTTTCAAAGAATTTCTCCCATTTCCCTGTCTTTTCTATCTTCCTCAGAGCAATAAAACAGTAATTACAATTCTCATAGCTAAGTGCTCCGTTATGTTAGACAGGAATTTTATATTTGTGTTTCAAGTCATTCTCATCTACAAAACTTTCATTTCACTGCATTGTTTCACAGTAATATTATACTCCACTCAAATTTGAAGAGCCTCAATAAAAGCTGGAAAGCCAAGGATTGTTAGGTACTGATTGTAAGTGTCTTCTGGCACAAAGCTTCTACTTATTCATAATTAAAACTGAAATAGCAATGAACGCTACCTTAATGCAAAAGGAACTCAGGAATTAAATATAATTAAATACATTTTAAGTAAACTTTCCTATTAGTGTCAGGTAAATATCTAAACTATCTACCCCCAAATCTGGTCTCAGAGAAAAAGGTCACAGACAACTACAAACAAGGCGCTTCAAATTATCAGGTCCATTTTTAAAACAATGAGATCCTTTGGGACAATCACTTTAGTCTTTCTTTTTATCAGAGATTTCTGTTGGTCCTTTTGTTGGTAATCCAATTACGTCTGTACCCTAAGATGAAAAAACAATTTAGTATTATCACAACAAAAAGACACTCACTATAAGAGATACTCTCTTTAAAAACAGACAACAAACTTCAAAATGAAACTCTGTTTCTAGAAATGTACGAGATGGCTAAATTAGAGCACATGAACACACTCAAAGATGAATTTAGCAAGCACCAATGCTAAAGACAACAAGTTATCTAAATACTCATTTTAAAAAAACAATCTTTTTATTTAAAAAAATCTCTATAATCCTTCTAATTAAAGCTCTTACCAAAGTTATCAATTAGTGAAACTGGCTTATTTTATTATAATCTCTTCCCATCCATTAGCTATTTACTATTACTCTTACCAGCCAGGAAATACTGGGTATTATCCTGGCCAAAAGGCAAGGAGCAAATGAAATAGAGGCCCAGTTTAAAACGTTAGTACTTAAGAAAACAAAAAAACCCCACAAAACAACCCAAGCTCCGTATTTGAAAAAGAAGGAAATTAAGACACATTTAATGGAGCTTCCAGTTCCAAGAACTTGCCTTACAAAAGCCAAGTATTTTACCTTGGCTGTACTAACCCCTCACCTACCTTTAATTCAAAGCATTTTGATGTTTTTACCTTATAGTCTACTTTGCCTTTGTTTTTATCATTGCATTCTTGTAAAGCTTTTCTAGGCCACACTCGACTAATGAAGGGGGAAATCAAAGGGTATATGTATGGCTCCAGGAATTTTTTGTAGATCCAGAGCAGAACCGGAATGACGATACAGGGAATGCACACCATGGTTCCAGGCTTGAGCTCCTGAATGGTTGATATATGTGGAGAAAAATCAAATTAGTTTAATGACTTAAGAATTTACCTAGATCAAGATACTTGAAAGGACTATTCCTGCACTGATGGAAAAACTTCAATCATATTACTGGCTAAAAGCAAGAGTCTATTAAATAAAAATGCTCCTATCTGTAAGGTAAAGGAGTAACAGGTAGTAGACATGAAAATAAGTGAGGTGCCTACCTCCAAACTTCTCCAATCACTGCTCCCCAACCATAAATCTGATGATAAAGATCAAGATTTGCTGGGTGCAAGGCAGTTAGGCCCTTTGCATTTATCAATTCAATTAATCCTCAAAAACCCAGTGAGTTTGGGTATGCCTGCTAAACTCCAGTTACAGATAAAGAAAAGGGGGCACAAAAGTAATATGGAACTTGGTAATTATGACTTCTATTCCAGTTTAGTGAGAATTAACTCCTAGGGCCTAATCTTCACGGACTAAACAATACTGATCACCCAACCTCCAATGCTAAGGGCAAATCTGGGACTATGGAACTCACCAAGATAACCCTCTGGAAGGCCACTAGGCTGCAAACCAGCAGGACTTTCCCAGGCAACAACTCCCCTGTGATGTATTTGCTTTTTTAGTAGCAATTAAGATACACCAAGTACTAAAAAATTTTATTTGGTATTATTACTATAATTAAATTGTTTATTTCTAAAAATTAACAGCTCTAATTTCCTTGATGATTAGAAATCTTGGAATTTCTCAAAATCAGCAATTTCTTGAAAAAGAATCAATGTTACTTCAGTAGTATACTATTGAACCAAAAACCTCTTAAATTTAAAAAATTTTTAATCTCTTAGAGTAGGCCTTAAAAACAGCTTCACAACGGTGCCTATGGCTAATAATTCAGGATTTTAAAATTTGTTCTCAACATACTGTACATTATTTTTGCTGACAAATGAGTCAGCCCTGTGACATTAAAGCAATTTAAAATTCACAATACAAGTGAACAGTGGTGTAGATGATCCTGTCTGAATGTTCTGAAATGAATTATAAAAAGCATAAACAAAGTGTAAATGTATGCCAAAGAACGACCAGTTATTTTATAAAGGATCCATATTTGGATTTTTAAAAACGGTTCCCTAGTCAAACTAAAATAACTTGAGAATTTACCAAAACATTTTGTTCCAAAATTTTAAAGAACATAGTCTCTGATTAAAATAAGCCAAATGAACGTGAGCTTGTTCAAGGAATCATTGTTTTTGGCCACAGACATTTAAAATCTGGAAAGACTTAAGATGTGATCAGGCTTAGGGCTTGCGCTCTTGTAGCATACTGGCGGGGAGCTGCCTGGATTTGAAACCTGCTTTCAACATTTTCTACATGGTGTTCTTGGGTAAATTATTTAACTAGTCTGTGCCTTAATTCCCTTATCGGAGAGATCAATAGTACCTATCACACAGGGATACGGTGTGGATTAGAAAAATATGAATACAAAGCTCAACACAGTATCTGCGTATTTTAGTAATATGTTTTCACTATAGAAGAAGAAAAAAATAGGTTCATTAAGTTGTGACCAAAGATCACAGAGGGAACTAGTAAACAGAGGTGGCTAAGTCCAGTATTCCCAATGATGTGTTTCTGGTTGAATACTATTAATTTTCCCCGTTTCAAGAACAGAGATCCTGTTATTCCCCTCCTACCAAACCTTCAAGACCAATTAAATCCTTTAAAACTAGCAATGCTTTGCGCACAAGGCTGGTGATGACTGGCAATCCATCAAATTAATATTCATTTTTACCTACTTGTAATCGTGTTTTAAATAAACTCTAAAGAACAAATTCTACAAACCGCTCGTCATAATTACATACATGAGGAAAACTGCAGCTTAGAAAGGTCTAGAAATAGGCTATGATAAATGGATAAAATTAGCATTTTTATCTACTCTCACCAATTCTTGGATATTACAACAAAGAAAACTAGATTAAAAACGTTGGAGGAGAGGAACTGTCTTTCACTCTTAAGACGAGAGGTAAAGGCTGAGGCTTTATCGGAAATAGGGCAGGTATAGGAGGAGACCACCCTGTTAACCCATTTCGGCAAACCATTTTACTGGAGACAAAAGAGAGGGACAGGCTGAATCAAAGGCAACGAGAGGAAAGATAGTAAAGATTAAAGCGAATGGCGGAGAAATAATAGTAGTGAAGCCGACAACAGGCCGAGCAAGAGAATAAACGGAGGTAAAAGGAGGGAGAGGCGGGCCGGAGGCCGGGGTGGTGGTGAACGCAGACGCAGACAGAGGTGAGGGGCGAGGCGCGGGCGGGAGGCCGACGAGGCGGGTAAACCGTGAGAGCGCAGGCGGGCGGCGAGGTGCACAGCGCTGGGCTACGCTAGCCCGCTAGGGCTCGGTCAGCGTGACCTGTGCGGGAGCCTGCAGAGCAGCCAGCACCGAGGCCACAGCCCATCCCCGCCCCGAAACCCGCCGAAAGCTCGGGCCCGCCCGGCTGTGCTCACCCGCGACCACCAAGCCGAAGAGGAAACGTCCGCCACTTCCGGAGGGAGGGCCGTGCTGTATTCCTCGCCAATGGGCGACGGGGGGCCGACGAAGGCACGTTGCGTCAGCCTGGTCGCGCAGGGCGGAGCAGTGACGCCAGGCGAGTACGCGGCGCAGCTTCCGGCGCTGCAGCCGCAAACTCAAAGCCGGCGGACAAGGCGTGACCCGGGATTCGCAGGCGCTTCCGACTAGTAGGCTTCCCTGCCTCGGGTTACTGGGAAATGGACCTGGAAACTGCAGGGAAGCTTACTGGGTGTGCATGTTGCATCAGGTTGTTAGCCAACGCGGTTTTGACCAAGCTATTCACTCAGCTGAGACACTTATGGGTCAGGGAAAATGTATGCTCAACTTTCATCAGCATCCATTTAACTACCACTGCACACCCACTGGGATAGCTGTAAATGTGGGGCATGGACACTGTAACCTCACAATTCATGCACCTATAAATGGCACTACAGCTTTGGATAGATGTGGCAATTCCTCCAATGTTTATGCTACAGTATGGGCAAACCCCAAAAATATGCTAAGTCAAAACCAGTGACAAAAGGCCACATATTCTGACTTCATTAATTTGGAACGTCCAATACAGACAAATCTATAGATAGAAATGGGGCTGGATTGAGGCATCAAAGATAGCTAAGCACTGCCAAGTTTTCTCTTTAGGATAATGAAAATGTTCTCAAGTTGACTGCTGTGATGGATGCATAACTGAATATATTAAAAGCCACTGAACTGTAAATGGGGTTAATTACATCGTTAAATCTCAATGAGGTAGCACAAGTTTCAGCATTTTCTCATGTTCTCTTATCTCACACAAAGAAGCACAACTCATGGCAATAGGCAAAGAGAATATTTCTAATCCTGATCAGAAACAAAGTTGATCAATTTTGTGAAGACACTTCAAATATATTTACTAATAAAGACAACCAACATTCTTTTACTTTTTATTTGCATTTATCTTATGCTGAATTTAATCCCGGGCCATAAGTTTCTGTTTCTTGAGTTTCTTCTGGGATATCTGGGGAAAGAAAAAAAAAAGGACTGCTAAATTCCTGAGAAATGCACACTATGACATCATTAAAGAGTGTAAACTTCAAACAAAAAGGGAGAGTCCTTTGGCACAGAGACTGAGGAGGAAATTAGAGTAAGGTGGGGAGAGTTTATGCTAAAACTGGAGGCAGGTAGTCCAGCTGATTATAAGGACCAAGTAGTCACAAGGATGGAGAATATTTAAGTGATAGCAATTGATAACAAGTCAAATCATTAGACATAAAGGGAAGAGCATCCAGAATCACCCTAAATTATTTATAGAACTGAATGCAATTACTGAAAACAAGCTCAGATTTTGGGGGAGAAGAGCAGAATCCATTTTCCCCACAGGCTGCATATTAAGGCTATGGACATTTTTGTGGGGCCATCAGCAGACAATCATACAGTTCTCATGTACTTAATACAAAGTTACTGCTATCAGGAAACAAATGAGACCTATGAAAGCCAAATAGAGTAAAAGAGGTTGCCAGTTGCTCAGAATAGTTTTCTTTCATTGTTATTCCAAAGGTGTCCTAAGTCAGTCATCACAGCAACCACAAATCTAATTATCATACACAAATTGAACTTGAGCAAGTACTAAGTAATTTACCTTTTTCTTCTGTGCAACTTCCTCTTCTGGTTTAGGCACAATCTGCTCTTTTTCAGTAAGGATCATTTCAATGTGGCAGGGAGAGCTCATATATGGGTTGATCCGACCATGAGCTCTGTAAGTTCTGCGCCGCATCTTGGGGGCTTTGTTCACCTGGATATGCTCAATGACCAAAGAATCTACATCTAAACCCTGGGAAGAGAGGAGGGGGGGCACAAAATCAGGTTAGTATCTTTATCTTACAACCATAAACAGCGTCATTAGAAAAAAGTTCCCCCATTTTTGAAAGGCAACTCTTAAAAAGACTTTAAGTAGCTTATTTGTTCATGTAGTTGTCCGCTTTCATCTTTATTCTAAGTAACTACACCAAAATGCAACGCTAAATGAATGTTGTATGTAAGTGGCCTCCCTACAGGTTTTTAAGAGTAGGATTATGAGATCTGATGGTTACCATTTCTAAACCTTGATGATAAACAGGATTTTAGCAGGATGGCTTAGCAGCTAGAAGGATTATCACCAGAGACCTTCATTGATTGTAGCTATGGCCCAGATTTCAAAATGCAAAGGGTAATTAATGGATATGCCCCAAATGGATAAGCTGTATGCTTTGTGGACTACATCATCACTTTTAACTGAAACTTATCATGTCTCTCCATTATGAGGCAGGCAACAAGCCACGTTAATCATTGCTAATGCAACCACTTTGTTAACTATACCTGTTCCTTTGTAATAGTATTTTACTATTTATTTAAAAATATTATTCTGTGACAGGGTTCACAAACCATACTACCATAAAGACCATCCGCATAAGGTTACAAACCCTTAGGTACACAAAAAATATGGTTCTTTCCTATGTGTATTAGGATTACAGTGGAAAAATAGTTAAGCTTTAGACTTGAAGAGACTGTGAACCATGCATCTGAAAATTTTTAGAAACAAAATTTTGGTCTGCTGGAAATAGAAGGTAGAGACTTGGAAAAAAATTTTTTTTTTTAAACAGGAAGTTTAGTTACTGAGAAAGGACACTCAAGAACTACATCTGAAATGCAACATACACATAAAGATGTTAATGGTTTGGGTACCTTAAGCTCAGCATTACTCTCTGCATTTTTAAGCATGTGCAGTAAAAATTCAGCACTCTTTTTGGGCCACCGACCCTGTGTCCATCCCCACTGTTTGGCCTGAAAGAAAACGAAGAGAACCTATTAATCATTTCCTGTGATTTAAATCAATGTTACAAACAAGACAAGGTTGCTCAGAACATAGTTTTTTTCATGGTTAATCCAAAGGTGTCCTAAGATTGTCATCACAGCAACCAGAGCAAGCCTAATTCAGAGAGATCCTAGACATTCTTATTGTGACCAATCACATTCCCTTACAATGTCTCTTCAAATGGCAACCACGAACTCTCACCTGGGCACACCTACCAACTCCACCATTGTAGCGACGGAATGGCACACACTGCTTCTGCAAGGTGACATCCTTCAGATACTTGGTAGCTTTTCGGATATGCATACCTTTGATGGCCTGGGCAGTTTCACGCGTGTTCTAAGTATAATAATATAAACGGTAAGTCACCCATGTTAAAGGAATACAATTTTTACAGTAACACATTAAATTCTCATGAAATGTCAACACGTATCAACAGCTAAGACCTTTCCGTTCTTGAGAGGCGAGCTAATTCAGTGAGGAAAAAGAAAAATCTGTCATCGAGCCAAAGAAGCTTGAAGGTAGGGAAAAATGATTCCCAACTTCCATTTATTCACTTTAACTCCATCATCTTATAACTACAATTTAATGTCCCATATCTTCCTGTATACTAGGTTCTCAAGCAGTTCTCCAGTAGTTTTACCCAATTCCACAAATCCTAAATCAAACTGCTCACTAAACACCGATATCAATGTCTGAAAGGTAGTTGCTCAGAATTCATTAATTTTCACGGTAAGTCCAAAGGTGTCCTAAGAAACACATCACTGCAGCTACCTTTCTAGAATGGCAACAAGTACTACCTGGACTCTTAGTGCATGATGATGATTCACATACCTTAAAGTGAACACGAAGATTTGAGCCTCTTGATTTGCATGCTAAAAAAAAAATTATTTTAGTTAAGTTTGGGTGTCTGTTTCATACCCCAAAGTAAGAAATATCTATCTCCTGTTCACTTACATTTTGTGGGGTTTTCTGGGTCAAGTGAATAGCGAACCATTTTTGGAGATCACCTGGGAGCACACAGGTAATTCTGTCAATACATTTTTACAATAACTTATACAGTTTAAATATGTTAAACACTACCAGCTGCTCAGAGAGTAGCTCGTTTCATGGTTAATACAAATGCCATCATCGCAGCCAACCCTTTTCGCCATCCAATGCTTTCTTCCCCTTTGCATCTACCAGTGACTACAGCAGTGCTGACACAAACTAGTGACACGGATCTCACAGCCTTCTCTTTAGCCTTTGGAGGGAAATACAGCCTGTTTTAATCCAATTCTGATCCATCAGGTGTAAAATGATGTGCTGGCATGGGAGAACTCAACCACAGCCCTCCCTCCACGTGTTTCCCTCTACAGAAACCCTTTACTCACATTGCTCACAGAAAATGCAGTCTTCCCGTACTTTTAGAATAATCACGTTAAGCGTCACTGAACTTGAAACGCTTATTATGTTCAAATGAGTTCAAACTACGACCTGACTTTATTTTTCATAACTTTCTACTCGGTCATCACTCACGGCGAGACGCTAGACCCCCCGTGTCGGAGACCGCCTAGAGCACAGGCCGTCCGTTCCCCGCCAGCCCCACCCACGCCCACCGCGTCCCTCAGCGGGTCGTAGAGCCCGACGGCCCCGGTGCACCAAGTAGGGCGCTCGGACACATCCCCTGCCATAGAGACACCGCCTTCAGTGACGAATCAGCTACACAGGGAGTCTTCCTCCCGAGATCATGTTAATCGGGACCACTAAGGCCACGATGGCGACGATGATCCGAGGATTCCCCACTCGGAGACACCAGAGTAAAACTCACCTCAGGCCGCATACGTGAAGAGGAAGAGCGGTGGCTGCTGGGAGAACTCATGAGAACTCGTCCTCTCGCGAGATTTCCAGCTGAAGAAAGATTTGAAGCGAGGAAAAGAAAGGGAGTGTGGAGTACGTTTTAGAAGATCGGTAAACGAATTGCTCCTTTAGAGACTGTCTCAAAATTCTTTGTATTTTGTATTCAGAAGTAAAGTTAAGGATTTTAAATATCTATGAATTAAAAACAGGTTTATAGTTCTAGGACAAGACTACATATCATTAGATATACACTAGACATTTTTTCGCCAACATTTGATTTGATTATGAGATCATCTACCCCTGAAAGTCGTCTGTAAGTGGAGAATTACGAAGATGCAAAGGATGGGACGTAATTACGGTAATCAGAAAATTTTCAGGATAAGAATTCACTCAGTCAGTTGTAGTGTATCTTGTGTTAAGGATAAGCTAACTGAAGGGTCTGGTTCAAGAGCAGGGTCTGGTTTCCCCCTTCCTCTTCTAGATCTTTATCTGGCAGAGAAAAACTCCTGGGCAGTATCTTAGCTGTCTTCCATACCGAAGTCATCTGTCTGGTTATTCCTTCTCAGCCATTGTCGGTGTTAGCACTTAGCATTAGGCCTTCTATTTCATGAGCCATCACTCCAGGCAGATCCAAATTCCAAGTGAATGAACTCTGGACAATGTTCTAGAGACCCTTCGTTCCTTGAACTCAGTTCCAGACACCTCACTCCCAGGTCCCTCTCCTGGACTCAACTTCCATTGCCAAGTGATGGGTTCCACGGTCTTTTCCTCAGTAATTCCCATAGTTCACGTGGCTTCAACTGCAGGATGAGAACTTCCAAATTAAGGTCTCTCCTCCCTATGTCTCTAGTTAATCCCAGATAATCAAATTGCTCCCTGGACATCTTTCCTTGCAGGTCAGGAGACGAATATTTGAAACCTAAAGCACCATGATTATCTCCTCCCCCAGATCCTTCTTTTCTATTACATATCAATAAGGATAACAGCGAATGCTTTGAAAAGCTTACTGGGTTCCAGGAACTATTTTACATGTATTTCCTCAATTAATCGTTTGGTGAACTGTTGAAAAAGATTATTATTTCCATTTTATGAAGATGAAATTGAGACAAAGGAATTAAGGAACTTCTCCAAAATCTCATAGTTAGAAAGTGACCAATTTGTAAGCAAAGGCAAGTCCCAATGACCAGTTCATCATCACCAGGCAATCTTACCTCTCCCCTGCCCTCCTCAGTGGCTTTTCTGGACACCTAGGTTCCTAAAGGAAAAAGCTGGGGAAAAATTTTCTCTCTTCAGCTCTTTGTAACACAAGTACTTAACAAAATCTAGATATCACCAGAGTCTTCTCAGTGGTCTTCTTGCCTCCCCGACCTGGAGCCCACCAATATATCCTCCATATTTCTGACAGAATCATTTTTCTAAATCAGCTGCCAAAATGGTCATGTCATTTTCTATTTTCCATTTTTTTCTGTGGCTCCTGTTCTAAGTTACTGGCGGTGGCTTAAGAGCTCTTCGTGATCTGACTTTCGCCTTCTCCATCTCTTACTCTTTCTTTCTCCTTCCCCTGCACTTTCCTCCTATTCTCTGATTTTAGGAAGAGATCAAACCTATGCTTAAAAATAGACATGGCTCCATAGACAATTCTGTGCCAGCCAACACTGGATTAGATTAGAAGGAATTCAAGCTGTGGTCTAATGTCATAAGAAACACATATTTGGTCATTCAGATGACCAAATATATATTTCTCAGGTATATTTGGTTTTTATCCACAGTTCCTGAAAACACTGTGGAGCCTTATTGGTGAAATGGGTGCCTTGCCTTGTTAATGAGAGACTTTTGGAACCCCCCACCCCAAGGACAGGGACTGGAGGTTGAATCAGCCAATGGCCAATGATTTAATCAATCATGACTATGCAATGAAGCCCTCACAAAACCCCTGAGAAGATCTTACGGCTCTCTTCACTCTTGGATCCTTCCTCTCTGTTAGAACTTCTGTTCTTGGGGAACCAGAACGCCTCCACATGCCACGAAGCCAGGCCCCAAGCTCTAAGAGGATAGAAGCTCTTTTATTTGGGACCTTGCCCTATGGATCTCTTCATCTGGCTGTTAACTGGTATCCTTTATTAAGCTGGTAAAAGTGTTTTCCTGAGTTTCGTGAGTCGCTCTAGCAAATTAATCAAACCTAAAAGAGAGGTCGTGGGAACCTCCAATCGGCAGCCAGTAGGTCAGAGGCACAGGTAACTGCCTGGGACTTGTGAATGTTTTCTGGAGTGGTGGAGGCAGTTTTGTAGGACAAAGCCCGCCTGTAACCTGGGGAATCTGGTGCCATCTCCAGGCAGATGGCATCAGAATTGAGTTCTTGTATACCATGCTGGTGTTCCAGAATTGCTTGGTGTTCTCCCCCTACACACACACACACACTGGGATGAGTTATACTACCATTGCTGGTGTATAATATACTACTACTGCTCTCATACTGTTGTGAAGGAAGGAAAACACAAGCCTTTGGGGATTACTGTATGTCTTTTTGAGGGAATGGCTTATCTTTTAGAGCCTCAGTGATTTGATTTTCTTTTAATATTTAAATTGTATTTGATATATATATAGATATTTCCTTCAATATGTTGTTTAATTCATTTTAATTTTATTGTATATACTGTGCAGAAATCATAATTATTAAAACAATAGTGAATATCTGTGAGGAATAGAACACCATATTATCAAATCCGCCACGGTGCCTGATGGAGCCCCTCTACACTCCCTTTCCTTTGACATGCAAGTATTCTTTAGATAATATCCAGCTTGCAACAATTAACATTGTTCCCTGGGGCAGGACTCCTTGCTCTAAATTATTCCAGAAGTAATACTTGGACATCAGTCCTTGCTCCATTGTGTACACGGTGGTCCTGCATCTCACCCCTTCCTCCTGGCCTTCCCCTGCACATAAAGCCTTCCTCCTTGACTCTGTAAATTAGCATCCCTAAACCCAAAGCAATGCTTCTATAGGTAAGATCTCCTCCATAAGTCTCCATAGAATTCAGGTTGGACTTGTCAGCCTCTTTCTTTGTTCTCGTAGCCCTTTCGGGAGCCAGTTTGCTTATACCTTCCCAAGTGGAAAAGTGAACCACAAATAGGGTGAATCCTTAGCAATCAATTTATTTGTTTATTCATCCATCCAGTAAGTATTGAACTCTTATTGTATGCCTGCCACTGCCAAATGCTGTGCTATAACAAGTATTAGGAGATTCCCTAACCTCAAGGAACCTGGGG